GAAGCTAAACAGGACTCTGCTCCATTGCTGAGGCTCGGTTATTTATGTCTTCCTTCATTCCAGATGTGAACGAATGCCAGAAGAACCCCTGCCTACATTCCCGGAGCTGCAAAAATCTCATCGGAGGCTATTTCTGCGATTGTCTGGACGGCTGGAAGGGACCAAACTGCAACATCCGTAAGAGACATAGGTTGTGGGACATGATGGGATCAGCTTTCCATTTGGGATTCGGGTTGCAAATTGCGCCAATTAAGGAAATGCACTGTGGCGCAGCTGGCTGAGAGTCAGCTGTACTAAGACCGAAAGGTGATGAGTTTGAAGCCAGCCTGGGTCGGAGTGAGCTTCCAACCAATTTGTGTAGCTTGCTGTCGACCTTTGCAGCCCGAAAGACAGTTACATCTGTCAAGTAGGAAATTTAGATACCGCTTATGTGGGGAGGCTAATTTAACTAATTTACGCCATAAAATTCTCCAGCAGCATGCAAAAGAATGAGGAAGTAATCCATCGGTGTCACAAGTGGGCGGTGAAGCAACAGCTCCCCCAGTGGCTGGAATTCGAAACATACCCTCATGAAGCTGGAAAGTTAAATAGCCTCTGTGTGTCTGTTTATATACATTGTGTGTCTATGGCATTGAATGTTTGCCATGTATATGTGATTTAACTAATTTACGAGGCCATAAAAATCTCCAGCAAGCATGTGGGGAATGAGGAAGTACTTCATTGGTGTTGCAGATGGACGGTGAAGCGACGGCTCCCCTGGTTTGGCTGTATTCTCAAATACACACACTTTGGGACATTTTAGTACAGAAAGTAAAGCCATATGATTCTTTTACTGGCAGCTAATCAACCGGCTGATTGATCACTGATGTTTATTGGGATTTTATAGACAATATACGATTTTTGAACTCTTCTCAACAGGAGAAAACGCTTGCCAGATCCAGTGCCGTAATGGAGGGACTTGCCAGGTATTAATTGTTAATATTACGCTACGTAACATGATTTCTCTTCCTGGGTTATCAATATCATTTCCTAATTGGTTCCATCATAAAAACATGGGAAAGGTTTATTGAACTGCCAATACTTCATTTTTGCAGAAGGGACATCCCGCTATAGGATTTTGCTATAGTTTTTAATGGATGTCTCATCAAGTCTCAACGAATTCAACATATGTGTTGTCGAAAGCTTTCAAGGCCGGAATCACTGAATTGATGTCTGGCCATGTCCCAGCAGCATTCTCTCCTGACATTTCACCCACATCTATGGCAGGCATCCTCAGAAGTTATGAGGTCTGTTGGAAACTAGAACAAGTGGGGTTTATATATCTGTGGAATTTCCAGGGTGGGAGAAAGAACTCAAGCTAATAACTCCCAACAAAGGATTCCTCCACGCAGGAAGCAGCCAGGCTTTGAAGCTGCAAGGCCATCTGTAGTGAAATTGCTACTCTATGTTAAAGTTTTGGTGTATAGCTCTATGTTTACATATGGCAGATAGGGAAGAATAGGCACAGACAGGGTAGCAACAGCAGAGATAGGATTCATTTGCATATGTGAAGCCGATTGGTCATATGCAGATTAGCATAGGCCCAGGATTTGAAAAGGCTGCTAGGCCAAAATGACAGTTGGGGAGAGCAGAGCTGAACATTCCAAAGGGGCGGAGCCAAGGTTTTGAAAAGAGGCAGTTAGAGTGAGAGAGTTTGAAAATGAGTTAGGAATCTGTGTGTGAAGAGGAGAGTTGGTTTTTGAGTACCTGTGAGAAGTAAGCAGTTATGAAGATGTGTTAGTAACTTCTAATATAGAGAAGCAGTTAGTTAAATAGAGCTCGGTAAATGATACTGACTGTAAACTTCAAGATTGAAACAAAACACAAATGTAACCACAAGCGTTGGAGCCAGAAGTTATAAATAAACTGTGTTACTTTGTTATCAAACATGTTGCCTTCAAGGAAATGTGGTATTTTAGAGCCGTCGCAAACTCTGTTCCTGCGGGAGCAAACCTTGCTAGCATGTCCCTGACGTCATGAGACTCCGCCTCTCGCCCCGCCCCTTTCTCCGCCTCTTTCTCCTTGCGAGAGTGGTTTTTCCTTTGCTAGGGCAGCATTGCCAGCATACTCTCTCAGTTGAATTCTCCAACTGAGAGAGTATGCTGGCAATGCTGCCCTAGCAAAGGAAAACCCACTCTCGCAAGGAGAAAGAGGCGGAGAGAGGGGTGGGGCAAGAGGCGGAGTCTCATGACGTCAGAGACGTGCTAGCAAGGTTTGCTCCCGCAGGAACAGAGTTTGTGACGGGTCTAAAAGAAGAAACTGAATCAGTATAAGACAGCAAAGAGATTTTTAATAAGGAAATAGTCTCTCTCCCTCGCCACCCATCCAATGCCAATCAAGGTTGTGATTGGAAACTAGGCAATGAGGTTTATATATCTGTGGAATAATGTCCAGAGTGGAGAAAGAACTCTTGTCTGTTGAGGCAAGTGTGAATGTTGCATTGGCCAGCTTGAATTAGCATTGAATGACCTCCCAACAAAGGATTCTCCCAGGCAGGAAGCAGCCAGGCTTTGAAGCTGCAAGGCTATTCATTGCTAATCAAGCTGGCCAATTGCAATATTCACACTTGCCTCAAGCAGACTAGAGTTCTTTCACCCACCCTGGACATTATTCCATAGATATATTAACCTTATTTGCCTCGTTTCCAACAGACCTCACAACCTCTGAGGATGTGGGCGAAACGTGAGGAGAGAATGCTTCTGGAATATCACCATACAGCCAACCCAATGATTTCAGTCATGAAAATCTTCCAACAAATAATAATAATTCTACTGTGGATGAAGCCTAATAAAATAATGATAATAGTTCTACGTCGATGCACCCTTATAAAACACAACCTCTGAGGATGCCTGCCATAGATTAGGCCAAAACGTCAGGAGAGAATGCTTCTGGAACATGGTCAGACAGCTTGGAAAACTCACAGCAACCCAATAATAATAATAGTGGTGTTTGCTGACCTTAGGAGCCCCTGGTGCTGCAGCGGGTCAAAGTGCTGAGCTGCTGAACTTGCTGACCGAAAGGTTGGCAGTTTGAATCCAAGGAATGGGTGAGCTCCCACTGTTAGCCCCAGCTTCTGCCAACCAAAACTCATAGCAACCCAATAATAATAATAGTGGTGTTTGCTGACCTTAGGAACCCCTGGTGGTGCAGTGGGTCAAAGTACTGAGCTGCTGAACTTGCTGACCGAAAGGTAGGCAGTTCGAATCCGGGGAATGGGGTGAGCTCCCACTGTTAGCCCCAGCTTCTGCTAACCTAGCAGTTTGAAAACATGCAAATGTGAGTAGATCAATAGGTACCGCTCCGGCAGGAAGGTAAAAGCGCTCCATGCAGTCATGCTGGCCACATGACCTTGTTGGTGTCTACGGACAACGCCGGCTCTTCGGCTTAGAAATGGAGATGAGCACCAACCCCCAGAGTCGGACACAGCTGGACTTAATGTCAGGGGAAAACCTTTACCTTTTTTCGTTGGATTTCTTGGCTTAGCTTCCTCGATGGTCTCCCATCCAAGTGCCAACCAGGGCTGACCCAGCTTAGCTTCCAAAATCACACCTACCCAAAATCCTCCCTGATGCTTTCAACACAACTTACCTGTTTCTTTGCCCAACAGGTGAGAGGAGGCAAGCCCAGATGCTCCTGCCGGAAGGGATATACAGGTGCTGAGTGCGAGACGCAATTGGGAACTTGTGAAGATAACCCCTGTTTGCATGGAGGACAGTGCCGAGAGACGGAAAACCGGACTTTCCAGTGTAGCTGTCCTTTGGGGTTCAGTGGGTCTCGTTGTGAGGTAAACATTGGACTGAATGGACTTTGGGGTCTCTTCCAACTAGAGTCTATACCAGGCATGGGCCAACTTGGGCCCTCCAGGTGTTTTGGACTTCAACTCCCACAATCCTCACAGCCTCAGGCCCCTTCTTTTTCCCCTTCAGCCGCTAAGCAGCTGAAGGGGAAAAAGAAGGGGCCTGAGGCTGTTAGGGATTGTGGGAGTTGAAGTCCAAAACACCTGGAGGGCCCAAGTTGGCCCATGCTTTCTGCAATGGCATGCCTTTCCATGTTGTCTCTCTCTTTCTTGGTCTATATTAGATCTCGGGGGATCTCTGCTCCCCAAACCCGTGTCCCAAAGGGGCGAGCTGCCTGGCGGGAGAAGGCACCTATCTCTGCTCCTGCCCTGAAGGTACCACTTGCCAGAAATTGCAAGAAGCCTGCCTGGATGGCGCATGTCAAGGTGAGTGGCTTGTGGTGGAATCTCTTCCTCTGGAGGCTTTTAAGCAGAGGTTGCACGGCCATCTGTTGGGAAGTCTTTGATTGTGTCTTCCTGCCTGGCAGAATGTGCCTGGACTGGATGATCTTTGAGGGTCTCTTCCAACTCTGGTTTCTATGATTCAACAGTAGCTGGAAGGCCACCTGTCAGGAGGGCTTTGATTGTGTCTTTCTGTCTGGCAGGTAGAGGTTGGACTGGATGATCTTTGGGAGTCCCTTCCAACTCTAGGATTCTATGATGGATGGATAGGTGGGGATGCAATATAAAGATATATACAGACATATACACAGAAAGCTGGACTGGATAGACCTTGAGGTCTCTCCCAAATAGAGTATATAATTCAGTAGAGGTTGAATGGCCATCTGTTGGGAGGGCTTCAATTGTGTCTTCCTGCCTGGCATGACCTTTGGGGATCCCTTCTAACTGTAGGATTCTGTGATGGATGAATGGGGATGTAATATAAAGATATATATGGACATATACACAAAAGGTCCCTCCCAACTAGAGTCTATTATTCGATAGAGATTGAATGGCCATCTGTTGGGAGGGCTTTGATTGTGTCTTCTCGTGTGGCAGAATGTGCCTGGCCTGGATGGTCTTTGGGGGTCTCTTACAACTCTAGTTTCTATGGTTCAACCGTAGCTGGATGGCCACCTGTCAGGAGGGCTTTGATTGTGTCATTCTATCTGGCAGAGAGGTTGGACTGGATGATCTTTGGGGGTCCCTTCCAACTCTAGGATTCTGTGATGGATGGATGGGATGTAATATGAGAATATATATGGACATATACACAAAAGGTCCCTCCCAACTAGAGTCTATTATTCGATAGAGATTGAATGGCCATCTGTTGGGAGGGCTTTGATTGTGTCTTCTCGTGTGGCAGAATGTGCCTGGCCTGGATGGTCTTTGGGGGTCTCTTACAACTCTAGTTTCTATGGTTCAACCGTAGCTGGATGGCCACCTGTCAGGAGCGCTTTGATTGTGTCTTTCTATGTGGCAGAGAGGTTGGACTGGATGACCTTTGGGGGTCCCTTCCAACTCTAGGATTCTGGGATGGATGGATGGGGATGTAATATAAAGATATATACGGACATATTCACAAAAGGTCTCTCCCAGCTAGAGTCTATAATTCAATAGAGGTTGAATGGCCATTTGTTGTGAGGGCTTTGATTGTGTCTTCCTGCCTGGCAGAATGGGCCTGGACTGGATGGCCTTTGGTAATCTCTTCCAACTCTGGTTTCTATGATTCAACAGTAGCTGGATGGTCATCTGTTGGGAGGGCTTTGATTGTGTCTTTCTATCTGGCAGATAGAGGTTGGACTGGATGACCTTTGGGGGTCCCTTCCAACTCTAGGATTCTGGGATGGATGGATGGGGATGTAATATAAAGATATATATGGACATATACACAGAAAGTCTCTCTCAACTAGAGTCTATAATTCAATAGAGATTGAATGGCCATCTGTTGGGAGGGCTTCGATTGTGCCTTCCTGCCTGGCAGAAAGGGGCTGGACTGGATGACCTTTGGGGGTCTCTTCCAACTTTAGGATTCTATGATGGATGGATGAATGAGGATGTGATATACATACATACATACAAATATACATATACATATATATACACATATACACAAAAGGTTGGACTGGTGAGCCCTTGGGGTCTCTCTCAACTAGAGTCTATAATTCAATAGAGTCTGAATGTCTGTTAGGAGGGCTTTGATTGTGTTTGCCTGGTGGAATGGAGCTGGACTGGATGGTCTTTTGGGGTCTCTTCCAACTCTAGATTCTATTATTCAACTGTAGCTGGATGGCCATCTGTCAGGAAGGCTTTAATTGTGTCTTTCTGCCTGGCAGAAGGGGGTTGATACATAGATAGATAGATAGATAGATAGGTAGATAGATAGGTAGATAGGTAGATAGAGATAGAGATATATATACACACATATACATAGAGAAGGTTGGACTGGATACCTCTTGCGGCCTCTCCCAACTATAATTCAACATAAGCCAGATGGCCATCTGTCAGGAGAACTTTGATTGTGTCTTTCTGCATGGTAGAATGAGGTTAGACTGGAAAGCCTTCCAAATCTAGTGACATATAGACTGCCTGGGAATGTGATGAAGTAGTTATCTCTGGAGGCTTTGAAGCAGAGGCTGCACGGCTATCTGTCGGGAGTGCTTAGATGGTGTGTTTCTGCATGGCAGGTCAGACTGGATGGCCTTTGGGGGTCTCTTCTAACACTATAATATTCCGATTCTCTCTCTGGAGGCTTTGAAGCAGAGGCTGGACGGCCATCTGTCGGGAGGGCTTAGAATGTTTGTTTCTCAGACTAGATGGCCTTTGGGGGTCTCTTCTAACACTATAATATTCCCATTCTCTCTCTGGAGGCTTTGAAGCAGAGGCTGGACGGCCATCTGTCAGGAGTGCTTAGATGGTGTATTTCTGCATGGCAGGTCAGACTGGATAGCCTTTGGGGGTCTCTTCTAACACTATAATATTCCGATTCTCTCTCTGGAGGCTTTGAAGCAGAGGCTGGACGGCCATCTGTCGGGAGGGCTTAGATGGTTGTTTCTCAGACTGCATGGCCTTGGTGGGTCTCTTGTAACACTATAATATTCCGATTCTCTCTCTGGAGGCTTTGAAGCAGAGGCTGGACGGCCATCTGTCGGGAGTGCTTAGATGGTGTATTTCTCAGGTCAGACTGGATGGCCTTTGGGGTCTCTTCCAAAACTATAACTATATGGTCCTCTATCTTTTTTTAGGGGGAAGCAGCCCAAACCTTCTCTACGTGGTGCTGCCGCTGGCCTTGGTCCTGATCTTGGCAACCCCGACGTTGGCACTAATGGCACGGAGGCTTCGCCGAAAACCCGGAGAAGCCGCAGCCGGGCTTCAGGAACCGGCGGCCAACAACAACCTCCGTTTGGACGCTGCCGTTCAACTCATCCGCAACGCCACCCGTGCCAAGGGCGAGGCGGGCCCGATTGTGGACGGGGTTGCAGTCAAGGCAGGGATGCCCGCGGGCGGGTGCCTGTCGAAGACGGACATCTCCAACGATGAGAGAGCCAAGCTCAACCAACTCAACCGGAGACCCTTGCTTTGACCAACGGAGAAAGAGAACTCGAGGAGGACTCGATCTCGAGACCCCGAAACTAGAACTCCCAAAGCACCTTATTTGGACCTTTTCTAGTATTGTTTTTGTTATTGTACAAATAACTCTACTTTGATGGCTGGAAGGGAATAAGGGCCAACTTGGGCCCTCCAGGTGTTTTGGACTGCAACTCCCACAATTCCTAACAGCCTACGGCTGTTAGGAATTGTGGGAGTTGTAGTCCAAAACACCTGGAGGGCCCAAGTTGGCCCATGCCTGAACTTACTAGATGGCTGGAAGGGAATATGGACCAACTTGGGCCCTCCAGGTGTTTTGGACTGCAACTCCCACAATTCCTAACAGCCGGTAGGCTGTTAGGAATTGTGGGAGTTGTAGTCCAAAACACCCGGAGGGCCCAAAGATGGCCCATGCCTGAACTTACTAGAGTTTTGGTCCCAAACTCTATTCTTATGGTTAAAGAAAGCACAACTGATCTGGACCTGCAAAGGATAAATTATCAAAGCAGATAATCTACTTTGAACTGGATTATGCGAGTCTACACTGCCGTATAATCCAGTTCAAAGCAGATCATGTGGATTTTAGATGGGAATGAAGATACTATTAAAAGAGGCCTTGATGTGGTCAAAGGGAAGTAGTGAGGTGGTAGGGAGCTCTGTCCCCTAAAACCAGTATCAAAGGGTGCGTCTACACTGCAGAGTTAATACACTTTGGCACCACTTTAATAACTTCCAATCGATTGACGATTGATGTGTCCATCTGCATTCCCTAAGTGTCCAAATGCCAGTGTTGGCTGATTTACCCTTCTACACTGACATATTATCCAGATTACCAAAGCAGATAATCCAGATTATCTGAATTGGATTATGCAGGTCTACACTGCTATATAATCCAGTTCAAAGCAGATAATGTGGATTTTAGATGGGAATGTAGAAGTGGCCATAGATACTATTAAAATAGGCGATGTGGTCGTAAGGAAGTATTGAGGTGGTAGGGAGCTCTGTCCCTTAAAACCAATATCAAAAGGTGTGTCTGCACTGCAGAGTTAATTCACTTTGGTACCACTTTTATATCTTCCATTGATTGATGATTGATGTGTCCATCTGCATTCCCTAAGTGTCCAAGAGCCAGTGTTGACTGATTTCCCCTTCCACACCGCCATATTATCCAGATTACCAAATTAGATAATCCAGATTATCTGCTTTGAACTGGATTATGTGAGTCTACACTGCCATATAATCCAGTTCAAAGCAGATAATCTCGATTTTAGATGGGAATATAGAAGGGGCCAGAGATACTAATAAAAGAGGCCTTGATGTGGTCTGTCCCCTAAAACCAGTATCAAAGGGTGCGTCTACACTGCAAAGTTAATTCACTTTGGCACCACTTTTATATCTTCCATCGATTGACGATTGATGTGTCCATCTGCATTCCCTAAGTGTCCAAGAGCCAGTGTTGACTGATTTCCCCATCTACACCACCATATTATCCAGAGTATCTATTTTGAACTGGATTATATGAGTCTACACTGCCATATAATCCAGTTCTAAGTATATAATGTGGATTTTAGATGGCAATGTAGAAGGGGCCAGAGATACTAATAAAAGAGGCTTTGGTGTAGTCAAAGGGAAGCAGCGAGGTCGTAGGGAGCTCTGTCCCCTAAAACCAGTATCAAAGGGTGCGTCTACACTGCAGAGTTAATACACTTTGGCACCACTTTAACTGCTCGTGTCTTAGGTAAAGGTAAAGTTTTCCCCCTGACATTAAGTCCAGACGTGTCCAACTCTGGGAATTGGTGCTCATCTCCATTTCTAAGCCAAAGAGCCGTGTTGTCCATAGACACCTCCAAGGTCATGTGGCCAGCATGACTGCATGGAGCCTTGTTGTTGTTAAAAAAGGTAAAAGTTTCCCCTTGACATTAAGTCTAGTTTTGTCCAACTCTATGGGGTGGAGCTCATCTCCATTTCTAAGCGGAAGAGCCGGCGTTGTCCATAGACACCTCCAAGGTCATGTGGCCGGCATGACTGCATGGAGCGCTGTTATTGTTATTAATATTCCCCTGACATTAAGTCCAGTCGTGTCAGACTCTGGGGGTTGGTGCTCATCTCTATGTCTAAGCCGAAGAGCCGGCGTTGTCCGTAGACACCTCCAAGGTCATGTGGCGGCATGACTGCACGGAGCGCTGTTGTTGTTGTTGTTGTTGTTATTGTTATTAATATTCCCCTGGCATTAAGTCCAGTCGTGTTCCACACTGGGGGTTGGTACTCATCTCCATTTCTAAGCCGAAGAGCCAGCGTTGTCCATAGACACCTCCAAGGTCATGTGGGCGGCATGACTGCATGGAGCCAGAGGGTGATCTACTCACATTTGCATGTTTTTGAACTGCTAGGTTGACAGAAGCTGGGGCTGACAGCGGGAGCTCACGCCACTCCCCTGCTCCGAACCTGCGACCTTTCGGTCAACAAGTTCAGTATCTCAGCGCTTTAACTCACTGTGCCACCATGTCTTAAGACCATGGAATTTTGGGAGATCTAGTTTTACAAGAGGGACTTAGTCTTACTGAAGATTCAGCAAAGGACAATAACTAAAATGTAAACAAAGGTGAAGAGCTGCCATCAGAGCAGAGAAAAGTGAGTGAGCAGGATTAGATTCAGCACTTTGGCCAGCTAATTTCAACGACAATCCCAGGGTTTCATAGCATCCAATTTGTTTGTTTGTTTGTTTACAATATTTATATTCCGCCCTTCTCACCCCGCAGGGAACTCAGGGCGGACCACATATGCACATACACATGGCAAACATGCAATGCCATAGACACACAACATATATAGACAGGGACACAGAGGCTATTTAACTTTCCAGCTTCTTGCAGGTATGCTTTGAATTCCAGCCACCGGGGGAGCTGTTGCTACTTGTGACACCAATTGAGTACTTCCTCATTCTTTTGGAGAGTTTTATGTCGTTGTAAATTAGTTAAATTAGCCACCCCTAAATTTCCTACTTGACAAATGGAACTGTCTTTCGGGCTGCAAACGTCGACAGCAAGCTAGACAAATTGGTCGGAAGCTCACTCCGACCCGGGCTGGCTTCAAACTCATGATCTTTCGGTCAATAGTGATCTTAATGCAGCTGACTCCCAACCAGCTGCGCCACAATCAGGTCTTTAATTATTGTCTTTCCTAAATTTCCTACTTGACAGTTGCGACTGTTTTTCGGGCTGCAAAGGTCGACAGCAAGCTAGACAAATGGCCGGAAGCTCACTCCGACCCGGGCTGGCTTCAAACTCATGACATCTTGGTCAGTAGTGATTTTAATGCAGCTGACTCCCAACCAGCTGCGCCACAACCCAGTCTTTAACAATTGTGGTTAAAGTAGTGCTAAACCGCATTAGTTCTGCAGTATAGACACAGTCATTGTGTACATATAAGAGATGCTATATTAATAGCCTTGAGTATTAAAAAACCCTAAAATCAGGACAGTAAATAAAGAGTAACACTAAAAAAACAGGGGAATTCCAGACAGGAATCGGTCAAAGCCAGTTAACACCTCCCAACAAAGGATTCCCTCAGGCAGGAAGCAGTCAGGCTTTGAAGCTGCATGGCCATTCAATGCTAATCAAGCAGGCCAATTGTAACATTCACACTTGCCTCCAACAGACACACCTTGGACGTTCCACAGATATATAAACCCCATTTGCCTAGTTTCCAACAGACCTCACAACCTCTGAGGATGCCTGTCCTAGATGCAGGTGAAACGTCAGGAGAGAATGCTTCTGGAACATGGCCAGACAGCCCGGAAAAATCACAACGATCCAGTGATTCTGGTCATGAAAGCCTTCGACAACACATTAATAGCCTTTGCCTTAGGCAGCAAAAAGTCTTGGTCAGCACTCCATTGGAGGGCCATTAAGTGCCTACACCCCAATGAGTCTACACTGCAATATAATCCAGTTCAAAGCAGATAATCTGGATTATATATGGTAGTGCAGAAGGGGGCTGAGATGCATTAAATATGCAAAAAAATGCAGCCGGTGCTTTCTCTAGGTGCTAAAATAAACATATTTCCTAATTCTCTGACGAACCAGCAACTTTCTACTATGGTTCTCGGTGCAAAAAGGTCATCTAGTGCTCCTGAAGTACTAGAAACTTTAAAACTATGGTGCTAATAATCGACTTCATTTCCATGATCTGAAGTAAAAAAAATGTAACTTTTCCTCACTAGACTTTTGGGGGGGACATGTCCTAATGTTATTTACGAGGGTTGAATGAACAGTAATGCCTCCACCTTCATAACTCCTCAACAGATGGCAGTACTGGTTTGCGGCAGGTACTGGCTTGTTCAGTAGACCCTCCTCTACAGTTCCAGTTTGGTGGGAAGCCTTAGCATTGAATGGTTGTGTTGTTAAAGTGAAAAGTAATGCCTCCACCTTCGTAACTCCTCAACAGATGGCAGTACTGGTATGCGGCAGGTACTGGCTTGTTCAGTAGACTCTCCTCTACAGTTCCAGTTTGGTGGGAAGCCTTAGCATTGAACGGTTGTGTTGTTAAAGTGAAAAGTAATGCCTCCACCTTCGTAACTCCTCAACAGATGGCAGTACTGGTATGCGGCAGGTACTGGCTTGTTCAGTAGACTCTCCTCTACAGTTCCATTTTGGTGGGAAGCCTTAGCATTGAACGGTTGTGTTGTTAAAGTGAAAAGTAATGCCTCCGCCTCTGTAACTCCTCAACACTGGTATGCGGCAGGTACTGGCTTGTTCAGTAGACTCTCCTCTACAGTTCCATTTTTGTGGGAAGCCTTAGCATTGAACGGTTGTGTTGTTAAAGTGAAAAGTAATGCCTCCACCTTCGTAACTCCTCAACAGATGGCAGTACTGGTATGCGGCAGGTACTGGCTTGTTCAGTAGACTCTCCTCTACAGTTCCATTTTGGTGGGAAGCCTTAGCATTGAATGGTTGTGTTGTTAAAGTGCGAAGTATGGAACCCTGTGCAGATGGTCGGTCAATGCGACTTAAGCAACATGCAGTCATTGAATTCTTGACAGCAGAAGGTGTCACCCCAAAGGAGATTCATCAGAGAATGCAAGCTGTTTATGGTGATT